AAACTTATATAGCTAATTGTAGCCACTCACACATCCATGCTCTATTTCCTGTCCCCTCTCTGAAGCTATAGTCTATGCACATAAAAGTATGAGACTAATAAGATTCCTCCACTAAGTTTATGTCTTTTTATCCACTGTCAGTATCGTCCAGACACTTCAATTCTGAAAGAGATTCTGTTTTGAATCGTCATGTGCCTATCTTTGCCACTTAGCCATTTCAAAAATAAATGTATTAAAGTAAAAAGTATATAGCAAACAAATCTGTGCAATTAAGTCTGACAACGAAGTACTCAGAAAACACAATCTAGGACTGCAATTTACTAGATTTACTATTAGACTAATTTCTAAGCAGATATATATAATATATACACACATATATACATACACATACATACACACACAAACATTATAGTGCAAGCAAGTTTTCCTTTCGTTTTACGCTGTGCTTTTGTTTTTATGCAAGTTCACATCTACATAATTCAAGAAAGTTCAAAGTTAATGCACTTAAATATGAACAATAAATGAAAAGACATACGTAACTCAAAGCTAAGCTTTATCATCTACCAGACTGTACCAAGTTTTTTTCTATAAAGCCACTGTAGGAAATCTCTTGCCAGCAAACTATAGGAAATGACATGCAGATTCCTACTTAACAGATTTCAAAGGGAAATTTTCTTAATCTTTACCTACAAGGTGATTTGAGGAAATTATGACAAAGTCTAAAGTACATCTTTTATTACTTTTCTGTAATTTTATACAGTATTTTTAAAGTGCTTATTAAGATTCCTAAAAGCTTGAAATATAAAAATTTTCTTTAGAAACTTGTATGCAATATTGGCTTTAACACTGATAGGCCTTGGTAAGCAATGGCATAAATTAGCTATCACATTCCAAGGTCAAGCCTTATATCACCTAAGAAATTTTGAGTCACAGAAGTATTTTTAAAGCCTAGAATCTGATAAGCAAACATACCTTCTGTTTCATTACTGTCAATAACGCTGCTAAAGTGCCACTCCCAGAAGTCAAACTGTGAATAGTCAAGTTCAGGATACATGCAAATATTTGCAGACTTAAACAAATTGTGAAAACTGTACAAAATTATAGCCACTTCTGAAGTGATGTTTCCTCTACAACCTACCAGAACAGAAAATGCAGACGATTGACTATCCATGCACTCTGCTTACATATTCATAGGCATCCAAAATAGAAAATGCAGAAGTTTGGCTGTCTATATCATCTGCCTGTCTATATCTTCCAAATAATTTATCAGCGTGACCCTTAAAAATTTGGAAGATTAACAGAATTCAGGAGTTGTAATTGGTGAGACATCAGAACTCTCTGGCAGAGAAGACTCAAGGCCTTCTAAAACGACAGCTCTCATGATTTCATAGCATTGAATCATGACAATTTAAAGTGGTGTCAATCTGCATGAATTCTACAGTGTATACGAGACCTTAGTTAAAAAGCACACAAACCCAATATATTAAGAAGGATAAGGTAATGTAAAGGTTTCCCCTGACATTAAGTCTAGTCATGTCTGACTCTGGGGGTTGATGCTCATCTCCATTTCTAAGCCAAAGAGCCAGCATTGTCCATAGATACCTCTAAGGTCACGTGGCTGGAATGGAGTGCCGTTACCTTCCCACCAAGACGGTACCTACTGATCTACTCACATTTGCATGTTTTCAAACTTCTAGATTGGCAAAAGCTGGGGCTAACAGCGGGAGCTCACCCCGCTCCCCGGATTCAAACCGCCAACCTTCCGGTCAGCAAGTTCAGCAGCTCAGCGGTTTAACCTGCTGTGCCACCAGGGGGCCATTAACAAGGGTACATCTACACTAGTCTGATGACTTTAACTGCCATGGCTCAAGACTGTGGAATCATGAGAGTTGTAAAAAAAAAAAGCCTTTAAACTAGGCATGGACAAACTTCGGCCCTTTAGGGGTTTTGGACTCCAACTCCCACAATTTCTAAAAGCCTACCAAAACCCCAGGAGGGTCGAAGTTTGCCCATGCCTACTTTAAAGGCTCTCTACCAAAGAATGCATGTGCCTCACCAAACTACAAATCCCAGGATTCCACAGTATTGAGTCCTGTCAGTTAAAGTGGTGTCAAACTGAATAATTTGACACTGTAGATGCACCCCAAGAGTCCAAAAAAACCTTGGTGGGTTGCTGTGAGTTTTCCGGGCTATATGGCCATGTTCCAGAAGCATTCTCTCCTGGCATTTAACCCAAATCTATGTTAGGCATACTCTCCTGGCAACCTCAGAGGTTGTGAGGTCTGTTGAAAACTAGGCAAGTATATATCTGTGGAATGTCCAGGGTGGGAGAAAGAACTCTTTTCTGCTTGAGGCAAATGTGAATGTTGCAATTGCCCCCTTATTAGCACTGAATGGCCTTGCAGCTTCAAAGCTTGGCTGCTTCCTGCCTGGGGAAATTCTTTATTGGGAGGGTATTAGCTGGACCTGATTGTTTCTTGTCTGGAAGTAGCCAGTTTTTGAGTGATGTTTTTTATTTGGTCACAAGCCCTTAGGTGAGTGACCAAATGCACCTCACTTTCCAACTGGATCTGCAAAACTCCCCTATATATCAAGAGCATTGCATAAATTAGTATAAAAACTGACAAAAATAGAAGGAGCACAAGTGGCTAAATATCTTTTAACCAAAAATTGTCAACAGCAATCACATTGTCTGTAGCTTCAAACAATTCTTCCCTCTGTACATGAGACAGGACATTGCAGACAAGCATACAGATGTGGAGTTGTCTGTTCTGCTCCACAGTCACACAAGGTGAAGGATTCGTTTAGGTAGTGCCATTTTGCCGGGCTGTCTTTTGATCTGCCCACTCCACTTCTGAGTCTGTTCTTGGTTTGCCCCTGGAGGCAGACCCTCGTAGGGGGTCATCCAACTGGGGTTTCCTGGTTTAGCTGCCCATAGGGATACTCTTGCTGTGGCTGAGAGGTTAAGAGGAGTAGTGATTCTCACGAAGCTTTTCTTGGATTTGAGTCTACCAGGGAAACTCCCAATTCCACAGCATAGAGCCTAAGGCAGTGAAAGTGGTGTCAAGCCACAATAATTCTACAGTGTAGATGCACCCCCAAGAAGCAAATCGGGCATGTTTAGCCTGCAGAAGAGAAAGCTGATAGGAGACATAATGAGGGCCATGTATAAATATGTGAGGGGAAGTCATAGAGAGGAGGGAGCAGGCTTGTTTTATGCTGCCCTAGAGACTAGGACACAGAACAATGGATTCAAACTACAGAAAAGAAGATTCCACCTGAACATTAGGAAGAACTTCCTAACTGTGAGAGCTGTTCAGCAGTGGAACTCTCTGTCCAGGAGTGTGGCAGAGGCTTTTAAACAGAGGCTGGATGGGGTGTTGTAGGTTTTTTCGGGCCATATGGTCACATTCTAGAGGCATTCTCTCCTGACGTTTCGCCTGTATCTATGGCAAGCATCCTCAGAGGTAGTGAGAGGCTGGATGGCCATCTGTTGGGGGTGCTTTGAATGCAATTCTCCTGCTTCTTGGCAGGGGGTTGGACTGGATGGCCCACGAGGTCTCTTCCAACTCTAGGATTCTATTCAACACATCACAATAGAGTATGAGTCCACTTTAAATCCGGTTGCTGCCTCCTGCAGAATTCTGGGGTTTGTAGTTTAGTGAGGCTGTTAAAGGTGCCTCCCTAAACTACAAACCCCAGAATCCTGCAGGAGGCAGCAACTGGATTTAAAGTGGATTCATTCTCTCTAATGTGATTGAAGTAGCATGATGCTAGGACAGTTGTGGTGTGATGAATTAGATGCTACTTCTATGATTGTATGACAGTGCATGTATTGACAAGCGTCAAGCCACTGTCAAGTCACTGCTCTCCATGGAAAAGCATGCCATCGTGTCATAAACACCCAGGGTTTTGTTTTTTGTCCTGTCAGGAGCAACTTGAGAAACTGCAAGTCTCTTCTGGTGTGAGAGAACTGGCCGTCTGCAAAGATGTTGCCCTGGGGACGCCCAGATGTTTTGATGTTTTATCGTCCTTGTGCATGTAGCCACATGCACGATGGAGGACCTTCTTGCGGCAACACCAGAGGCACTCCAAGTGGCCAGATCCTGGTCAAAGAACATTTAATCAGCTACCAAGTTTGCAAAATTTGTGTTGTTTTTTTATCTGTTTGTTTGTTTTGTTCTGTTAGAAATGTAATACAATGTTCTGGTTGCGGATGACACGATAAATAAATAAATATCATCCTTGTGGGAGGCTTCTCTCATGTCCCCGTATGAGGAGCTGGAGCTGATAGAGGGAGCTCATCGGCGCCCAGGGTGGCATCCTAGCAAAACAAGGCACCCCAGGTTCACTTCCTGACTGAAGAGGCAAAAGTTTAAATCTGGGGCGGAGGGGGGAGGAAGGAGGGGGGAAGGGGAAGTGCGAAAGTCACTCCCACAGCTCTTTCTTGACGCACGCTTCCTGCAGAGCCGACCCCCCCCCCCTCCTTCTTTCCCTCCCTCCCTCCCTCCCTTCTTTCCTTCCTTCCTTCCTTCCTCCCCCAGATTGCAACGGCAGTCCGAACAGTCTCTCCGGGTGGGCATCTGTGCAGGGCCCACGATGCCCCGCTGTCCTCCTTCCCCGCATCAGCCTCCCTGCCGCTGGAGCTTCCCTCCCTGCCTGCCTTTCCCCCCTCCTCCCATTCCCCGGCTCCATAGCATAGCAACGGGGCTTCCCTCAACGTTCCGACCTGAGGCGCCCAGGCCCGAGCCAGGATGACACAGCCGGCGGTGCTCCTCTGAGGGAGGCAAAGAGGCAGGAAGAAAGGAAGGAAGGACGGACCTCCGGCTTCCCCTTCTTCTTCCTCCGCTGCCTCCTCACAGGCCGCTGGCGAAGGATGAAGGGAGGAGGAGGAGGAGGAAGAGGGGAAAGCGCATCCTCCTCTCAAGTTCCCTCTTCGCAGGACCCTCTCCCTCTCTCTCTCTCTCTCTCTCTCCACATTCAAGCCTCGCTCTTCTTACCCGAATCTTCGTCGCCCGCCAGCGGGCTCTCGTCGGTTCGTCGCCTCTGCCTTTCTTCGCCTCTCTCTCTCTCTCTGAGATGGAGGAAAAGGAAGGAAGGAAAGGGAGGGAGGGAGGGAAGGGGGAAAAGAGATGGAAAGACACGGAAACAGGAACCCGCTCGCCGTTTTAGCGGGAGCCTCTGACGAGACTGGAGGAGAAAGAGAGAGAGAGGAAAGAGACCCTCCCTGACAGACAGAACAGAGAGAGAGAGGGAGGGAGGGAGGAAGGGAAGAGCGAGGGAAGGAGGGAGGGAGGGAGGGGGAGTTAAAAACGGAACGCGCGCGCGCGCACACGAACACTCGCTCGCTCGCGCCCCCTTCCTGCGCGCGCGCACCAAAGGAACCTTCAAGGAACGGTGGTGGGCGGGCGCGCGCGCTCGCGAGAGAGAGAAAGAGAGAGAGGGAAGGAAGGTATTATTGGCCCTCGGCGCGTCAAGAGTGGAGTCCAAAGGAGCCCATAGAGAGGAGGGCGTGGCCTAAAGCGCGCTCTGGCTGTTTTTTAGGAGGGCAACCAATGAGAGAGGCGCCGCGTGAAATCTCCAGGCGGGCGGAACGTTAGCTTCACAAACCCGAGCGAGCAAAGGCGATGAAGAGCGGGCAAGGCGCATGCGCGCTAAGCAGCCGACTCCCCTTCGCCCTTCCCTTTTCGGTCCTGTCTGTTTAGCCGTTGGGTTCGGAGTCGGATGTGCTGGAGGGAGGGAGGGACGGGACGAGGATGCGGGACAGGGCCATTGGTGGGCCTGTTTCTCCCCTCCGGTTCTGTCTCAGCCTCAGCGTTGGTCCTCTGCTGCTCCATCTTCATCACACTAGAGCAGGCACCCTCAAACCGCGGCCCTCCAGCTGCTTGGGCCTCCAACTCCTAGAAGCCCCAATGAGCTCGTCCAATTGTCAGGAATTCTGGGAGTTGAAGGCCCAAAAAGCTGGAGGGCCGCAATTGGAGGGTGCCTGCACTAGAGAACGAATCCACTTTAAATCCGGTTTCTGCCTCCTGCAGAATTCTGGGGTTTGTAGTTTGTGAGGCTGTTAAAAGCTCCTCCCTAATCAGAGCTCTGCTCCATGGAAGAACTGTTCTGAGCAATGTCTGGGGTCTGCACAAGTTACAGCGCGATGATTCCACTTTAACTGCCATGGTTCCAACCAGACCCGTAGCCAGGATTTTGATTGGGGGGGGGGACTGAGTTTGCTGGGGGGGGGGGCTCAGGGTCTACCCTAGCAAACCTTTTGTATCGTTACCCCAATACCCCCATGCATATGGGATATATTGAGCATGGTGATCAGATCATGATATGAATAAACATAACAGTTTAAATAATGTACCAGTAAGGCCTTCTCGCAGACCACCCTGAGAATTGGGGGGGGGGGGGCTGAAGCCCCTCAAGCCCCCCCTCTCCAGCTATGGGCCTGGTTCCAACCCATGGAATGTGGGAATTGCCAGTTTAGGGAGGAGGATTTCAGATTCCCAGCCAGACAGATGTGCCTCTGACCAAACTACAAACCCAGGATTCCATAGGATGGAACCATAGTACTTCAAGTGGAATTGTAGCACTATAATTGTGTAGTGTGAATAGGCCCAGATTTTATTAGGCAGCCTAGAATCTAGGGCAGTGGTTCTCAACCTGTGGGTCCCCAGATGTTTTGGCCTACAACTCTCCAAAATCCCAGCCACTTTACCAGCTGTTAAGATTTCTGGGAGTTGAAGGCCAAAACATCTGGGGACCACACAGGTTGAGAACCACTGATCTAGATGAACCATTGTAAGTCATTTTGGGAATTGGTAAAGAAGGGATCACAGTTAAAATAAAGAGTGCTGCATGGAGTCCTAGACACCCTAAATGCACCAGATCTAATAATAATAATACTGGGATCTGCACGCATTATTCGCCGATACATCACACAGTCCTAGACACTTGGGAAGTGCGACGTGTGATCCAATACAACAGCCAGCAGAGTACCTGCTGTGGACTCATCTTGTTGTGTTTCTAATAATAATAATAATAAGATAATGATTCATTGCAACTTGTGCCACAAATACCATCTGCCAGCAACAAAGAACTGGTGTGATCACAAGCCTTAAAAAGTTACAGAAAAAGAACACGTCAAACTAGTCTGGGACTTCCGAATTCAGACAGACAGTTTTGGAGCACAATACTCCTGACCTCACGATCGTGTAAAAAAACAAAATATGGATTGTTAATGTTGCCATCCCAGGTGACAGCAGGATTGTTAATGTTGCCATCCCAGGTGACAGCAGGATTGAAGAGAAACAACTGGAAAAGCTGACATGATATGAGGATTTAAAGATCGAACTGCAAAGACTCTGGCACAAGCCAGTCAAGGTGGTCCCAGTAGTAATCGGCACACTAGGTGCAGTGCTTAAAGACCTTGGCCTGCACTTAAACACAATTGGCGCTGACAAAATTACCATCTTCCAGCTGCAGAAGGCTACCTTACTGAGATCTGCAAGCATTATTCACTGATACATCACAGTCCTAGACACTTGGGAAGTGTCTTACATGTGATCCAATACAACAACCAGCAGAGTATCTGCTGTGGACTCGTGTTTCAAATAATAATAATAATAATAATAATAATAATAATCTTTATTTATAGACCGCTTTCTCTCCCCGAGGGGACTCAGGGCAGTTTACACACAAAAGAGGCAAACATTAAATGCCTAAACATCTCAAATAATGCAAAATAATAACTGTAAACTTACAACAGCAGAGAAATTAACATCAGAATGGGAAACAGAGTGCGAGTAATAAACATAATTATACGAATATCATAGTTAACGACATAAACCATAAGAGGGGGGCATCCAGTTGTGATTACCTGATAGACGAGTGGTGGTTCTTTTCCTTGATTTAAAGCCTACTGGGAGAACGCTGATAGCCACACAGTTGGTGGTTTTCACAGTGTTCAACCTTGTTTCTCTCCCAATTGACAGCAACTTCCTGTTGCACATTGGGGAGGGGGGGCAATGCCAGCTAGCTTATAAAGTCTATCAACAGCTGTAGGTTTAAGACATCCTGTGATTATTCTACGTGTCTCAGTGTCATTCACCTCCTTCTCGTGGGCAGACTTGTGCCAGATGGGGCCATTAGTGAAAATACCTACAATTTTAAAAAGTTAATAATAAATAGATTTATATCTCGGTTCTATCATTAACCAAAATGGAAGCTGTAGTCAAGAGATAAAAGGATTTAAGCTTTGGACCCCATCTATACTGCCAGTTTGAAACTGCATTATATGGCAGTATAGATGGGCCTTTGGAAGTGCAGCTAGGAAGAAACTAAAGATGTTTCATTGAAACCAAAGTTAGGCTCACCCACCCTTTACTATTTCTAATCTTAGTGTATAACCTGGAAGGCTGGAGAGTATAAAAAATTGGCCAGGGAAACATTAACTCATTTGAAATGTGCTGGAGGAAAATTTTATCGATACCCTGAACTGCCAAAAAGATAAACGAACCAATCTGGGAGAAAATCAAGTCTGAATTTTCACTAATGGCTAAACTAACTATCATAAACGACTAAACCTCGGGCTGTTGTATTTTGGACACATAATGAGATGACATGAATCTTTAGAAAAGATGATACTTCTTGATTAAGTGCGTGACAGCGGGCAAAGGAGACCACATTAACTTTGACAGCAAGGCTATTGATGATGAGGGTGGAGGCGTGTTCATTAAAAGTAGCTTGATGGCAAATAACACCAACAAAGAACCATACAAGACCTTAAAGGGTAATGTTAAAATCTGTTAAGTTAGGAAGTATAGACAGTCCTCCACATTCGCTGGAGTTAGGGACATAGGATCCCCAGAAACCGAACAAAGGGGAGAGGAGGCGGAGTAGCCTTATATGTCAAAAACTCTTATGCTGCAGAAGAGATTCAAGACAGCAATCTGGGAAACCAGCTTGAAATCATCTGGATAAGAATCAAGGGAACTGGGACTCAAAAAGATGTCGTTGTAGGCGTCTACTACAGACCCCCAAGCCAGGAGGAAGAACTTGATGAAGTCTTCTGCCAACAGTTGACCAAACAGGCACAGAGAAGAGATGTAGTAGTCATGGGCGATTTCAACTATCCCGATATTTGCTAGAAAACAAACTCGGCCAAGAGTACAAGGTCCAACAAATTCCTCGCTTGCCTTGCAGACAATTTCATGGTCCAGAAGGTAGAAGAGGCAACAAGGGGATTGGCTACTCTTGATCTCATCCTAACAAATGCGGAGGACCTGATCGATGCGGTCGAAGTGGTAGGATCCTTAGGGGCAAGTGACCATGTGCTCCTGCAATTTGAGGTACAAAGGAAGGCCGAAACTAAGACAAGTCAAACCCGCATTTTGGACTTTAGGAGAGCTGATTTCCAAAAAATGAAGGAAACGCTGAGCAGCATTCCGTGGACACAGATACTAAAAGACAAGGGAGTTATGGATGGATGGGAATTTCTCAAGAGTGAAATACTCAAGGCGCAATTGCAAACCGTGCCAACAAAGAGAAAAAATAGGACAAGTGCAAAGAAGCCAGAATGGATGTCCAAAGAACTTCTATCTGTGCTAAGACACAAAAGAGACATGCACAAGAAGTGGAAAAAGGGAGAAATCAGGGAGAAAAGGGAGAAGAATTCAAACAAATAGCCGACACCTGTAGGGAAAAGGTCCGCAAGGCTAAAGCAAAAAACGAGCTCAGACTTGCCAGGGACATTAAAAACAATAAAAAGGGCTTCTATTCTTATGTCAGTAGAAAAAGGAAAAACAAGGAGGCGATAGGACCTCTTCGAGGAGAAGATGGGGCAATGCTGACAGGGGATAGGGAAAAGGCAGAACTACTTAATGCCTTCTTTGCCTCGATCTTCTCACAAAAAGAGAGTCTTCAACCTCAGCAAGATGGAGTGGATGAGGGATTGGAGGACATCCAACCCCAAATTGGGAAAGAAGTCGTCCAGGAATACCTGGCCGCTCTTAATGAGTTCAAGTCCCCAGGGCCAGATCAACTACACCCCAGAGTATTGAAGGAACTAGCGGAAGTCATTCCGGAACCATTGGCAACCATCTTTGAGAGTTCTTGGAGAACGGGAGAAGTTCCAGCAGATTGGAGGAGGGCCAATGTGGTCCCAATCTTCAAGAAGGGAAAAAAGGATGACCCAAACAACTACCGTCCGGTCAGCCTCACGTCGATACCGGGCAAGATTCTGGAAAAGATTGTTAAGGAAGCTGTCTGCAAACACTTAGAAACAAATGCAGTCATCGCTAATAGTCAACATGGATTTATCAAAAACAAGTCATGCCAGACTAATCTGATCTCTTTC